GCTCCAGGTTCACAGGAGGGGACCACAGGTCCAGGTTCCCTAGAGGGAACCACAACTCTAGCTCATGGGAGGGGACCACAGCTTCAGGCTTTTGAGAGACAACTGCAGCTCCAGGTTCACAGGAAAGGATCACAAGCTCCAGCTCTTGGGAGGGGACCATAGCTTCAGGTTCACAGGAGGTAACCATAGTTCCAGGCTCATGGAACTATTTCCATTATGCTGGGTCCTATTTTCCTGTCTCCATCACTCAGACCACGTGATAATACTTGTGGTTAATTAGAGCATTTTGATTTCTGTGTAGCAAACAGAGATAACAATTACTTGCTGGCTTGAATTTCTCACTAAAGGGACAGTCAGTATTGGAGAAAACCACTTTTGCTCAAGGTGACAGATGGATCAATGTTTTCTTTTCATGGCCAAGGATCTGGTGGGCTTCTTTGATGTCTGCTGTTTTCACATTTTTCTTTGTGATAGGGGGAAACAAGGGATTAGACATCTTACTAGAGTCACATTTTAGCCCTCTGAGCCATGAAGGTCATTTCCCACTGAAAACTCCCCACCACCAGTGTGCCCCAGGTCAGGTCATCGGGGAGCACAGAGTGGGGTCTGAGGTACACACAATGCTCCTCACCATCCTCAGCATCATCTTTGCTGTTCGCCTTCTTGGGCCATTTACCCCACAGCCTGTTGTGCCCACTTCTCAGCGTGCCCACAGCTGCTGCTGCCACCACTGCTCCTGTGCTTTTGGTTGCTTTTGTCCAGTCTTACTGCTAAAAACCTCCCAATGGATGCTCAAGTGGCTGAATATCTTTTACAAAAGAGAAATAATAGATGATAAAATTACTGGTGAAGAAAAAGAAATCCCAATTTGTAAAAGATTGTAATGCTGTGTTATTCCGAGTGTTTTTATCTAGTCCATTTTACTGAAGACCTTTAGGTCCTAGGATGTGGCTCAGTTGGTAGAGTCCTTTTCTAGCATGCACAAAGCTATGGGGTATGATCCCTAGGACCACCTATACCACGCATGGTAGTACATATCTGTAATCCCAGCACTTGGGAGACAGGAGGATCAGAAATTCAAGGTCATCCTTGGGTACATAGGGAATGAAGCTAGCCTGGGCTACATGATACACTGGCTCAAAAATAGACATTAGATAAGTAGGTACATTTATTATGCTTAAATATTAGACCTAGAATTTGTTGTTTAACCTGTTTGAAAAATGTGGCAATTTGTGTTAGTTGTATTGCCCTGGCTGGACTGGCTGCTGTGGGGCTGGAAGCCCAGTAGGATGATCTCACTGCAACTACTGCTGGTCTGATGGATAGCTCTTTTTAGGTTTCAGACATCCATCTCTGAACTTTAGAGGTGGCTTTAGTTCCCATGACAGTTGAAAGCTTTTGTTTTGCTATGTGGTTCGCGTTGATCAGACCCAAGCAAACTTGTAAGAATGTGAACCTTTGTGGTACATATGTTGAAGCAGATAGGATGCATCTCCATCTTCCTTCAGCTGAATTCTTGGAAATCAGTGGGAAAAGAGAAATGGGAATATTATTATTATTATTTTTTAATTTTGAGACAGGGTCTTGAAATTGATATGAAACCAAGGATGACTTTGGACTTTTGAGCCTCTGACACCAGAGTGCTGCGATCACATGTGTGTGCCACCATGCTTGGTTTATGTGATGCTGGGGATTGAGCCCAGGATTTTATGCATGCTAGGTAAGCAAGCTACCTACTGTACTGCACTCCATCTCCAGCCTCTAGAAATGGAGACTTCTGAAAAAAGAGCCCCTGCATACCCAAACATAGAGGAAAGTTATTTTAATCTGTGATATTACTAAGTCAGGACGGTTCCTTTCAAGACCATGGAGACACAGGGAATTAGGTCATGCAGTGAGGGCCTGCATCCTTTAGGTTTGAGCCAGTGAGCGCTACAAAGGCAGAGAGACCTGAAGGACTCTTGAGAAAAATCCCGGGCAGGATGCTGTGGATGGCTCAAATGTGATAGGCAAGAATGAAAAGACATTCTGAAATGCCGGCTCAAGTAAGGCATCCATGTGTGGAGGCAGGAAGTTCTGTTTTCATTTTCTTACTCCTGCGTGCCTTTCTTGAGCCCACTTCTTAAGGCACAAAAAAGGGAAGAAAAGGCCAAGGAGATGCCTGTGCTTGCAGGGTGAGTCACGGGGTGTGGTGGCCACGCTGCAACAGGAGCCATGTAGGGAAGTGGAGAGCAGTGAAGTCAGCACCATCCCCTTACAGCTTGCTTCACGCTTCATTTTCTTGAGGCTGTTGGGAAGGATGGGCATAGTTCTCAATCAGATCAGAAAGCAATTTATCTTCCTCTCCAAAGGGTGTGAGATGAGAAAAGGGGGAGGGACGGAGGGAGAACAGAAGACTGTTCATCCATCTTGCACTCTGGTATAATACCAGCAGTTAGCCTCCCTCCAAAATAGCGTGGGGTTTTTGATTTTTTTTATTATAAAATAATATACATTCATTATAAAAAGATGGGGGCAATGCAGTAGACCTGCATCACTGTGAAATCAAAGTAATCTGTCCTGTGGGTGATCCAGTCTCCCTTCAGGCATTTGTATGCACAAGTGCAAGCATACTTTATTCTTTTGCCTTTTTAGAGTTTCATAGGTGAGCCCTGTATTTACATCACTTCCATCCCTTCCTGTCCTCTTCCAACTCCTCCTCTGTGTCTCTCACTCACTTTCAATTCCTTGTTTTCTTCTTTGAGTACTATTGTTACACGTACATACATGCATACATTTATAAATCCGCACACACACGCATACACACAGTGCAGAGTCCACGTGTCTGTGTACTCCTCTTTTACACAAATCTAAAGTTTTCCATTTTTATTCATGGATTAAAATTTTAACTACACTTACTTCTTTGTTTTCTTTTTTCTTTTTGCTGTGTGTATGTGTGTGTACCTGTATGTCATGGCTCACACATGTGTGGAGGTCAGAGGACAACGTGCGGGAGTCAGTTCTTTCCTTCTACCCTGTGGGTCTGGGGATTAAGTTCAGACCCCCAGACTGGTGACAAGCGTCTTAACTCACTGAGTCATTTCGCTCACTGCTCTCATAGATGTTTTAAAATGTCTCCTCTTTGTTCAGTGGGTGCTGAACTCCATGAAGCTTGAGGTCTGAGATAAACTACAGCACAAGCAGACACTGTGAGTAGAGATCATCCGAGGATTGGAACCCAGCTCTTTTCCTTTATTGGCCTTGCGATGGCAGCTTCTTTCCTTAGCTTCTTGTCTGTGAGGTGGGGGATGAGGACCTGTGTCTCCTGGTGCTGTGGTGAGGACTAGATCAGACACAAAGCACAGAGAGAGTGCCTGGAGCAGCAGATGTCATGGCCTGTGAACTTCAGGATGAGTTGATTTACCTTTGAGTGTGAGTTCCAAGCATGGAGAAAGCCCCTCTTCTGCTGGTGCAGATGCAGAGCTGGGACTCACTGAACTACCTGCCTCTTACCTCTACCTTTGCCATCCATCAGTGATGTTGGTATTTCCCTCAGGCTGTCTGTTTTCTGTTTCTTGTGGAGATTCACAAAGCATTCGACATTGGTAATTACTTTTACTCCTCTTTTACACAAATCTAAAGTTTTCCATTTTTATTCATGGATTAAAATTTTAACTACACTTCTTTGTTTTCTTTTTTTCTTTTTGCTGTGTGTATGTGTGTGTACCTGTATGTCATAGCACAAATCTAAAGTTTTCCATTTTTATTCATGGATTAAAATTTTAACTACACTTACTTCTTTGTTTTCTTTTTTCTTTTTGCTGTGTGTATGTGTGTGTACCTGTATGTCATGGCTCACACATGTGTGGAGGTCAGAGGACAACGTGCGGGAGTCAGTTCTTTCCTTCTACCCTGTGGGTCTGGGGATTAAGCTCAGACCCCCAGACTGGTGACAAGCGTCTTAACTCACTGAGTCATTTCGCTCACTGCTCTCATAGATGTTTTAAAATGTCTCCTCTTTGTTCAGTGGGTGCTGAACTCCATGAAGCTTGAGGTCTGAGATAAACTACAGCACAAGCAGACACTGTGAGTAGAGATCATCCGAGGATTGGAACCCAGCTCTTTTCCTTTATTGGCCTTGCGATGGCAGCTTCTTTCCTTAGCTTCTTGTCTGTGAGGTGGGGGATGAGGACCTGTGTCTCCTGGTGCTGTGGTGAGGACTAGATCAGACACAAAGCACAGAGAGAGTGCCTGGAGCAGCAGATGTCATGGCCTGTGAACTTCAGGATGAGTTGATTTACCTTTGAGTGTGAGTTCCAAGCATGGAGAAAGCCCCTCTTCTGCTGGTGCAGATGCAGAGCTGGGACTCACTGAACTACCTGCCTCTTACCTCTACCTTTGCCATCCATCAGTGATGTTGGTATTTCCCTCAGGCTGTCTGTTTTCTGTTTCTTGTGGAGATTCACAAAGCATTCGACATTGGTAATTACTTTCTTCTTGGGAGTTTCATACACCTGTACAATGAAATAAGCTCATATACATCCCTCACTTTCCCTTTTGACTTCCCTTGTATCCCCCCAATACCTCCCCCACCTCCAACTTTTCTTCTTTTTTTCTTTCTTTTTGTTGATAGCCCACTAAGCCCAATTGGTGTTGCTCATATTTGCGTAGCTGGGAGGGTGGGGGTCAGCCATTGAGACATTTTATCTTTCAGGTTTTTAGCTTTGGGATATGCAGTCAGAGAAAATGCAGATAATAGATATTTTAGTAGAGTCCCTGAGCAGGGATTGAATTTGTTATTATCTCACAAGGCACATTATTATAAGTCTAAAGTCAGGAGTGGGCACATACATCCACATATGCCTGGGCACACACATGCACACACACACACACACACACACACACGTACACACTGTGAACCTACCCCCACACTGTTCCATGCTGCTCAAACACTTTGCTTTTGAAGGCTACAGGAGCTGGAGAGTTCTCCATGAGTCACCTTTTCTTGTCTTTCTCTGCAGGAACACACTGCGAACTGTACAAGGATCCCTGTGCTAACGTCAGCTGTCTGAACGGAGGCACCTGCGACAGTGAGGGTCTGAATGGCACGTGTGTCTGTGCACCAGGATTCACAGGTGAGCGATCCACAAGGGAGTTTTCAAATTCACCACACAGTCCCTGCAGTCACAGAGGTTAGACAGCCCCAGGCCTTCCTCCGTGAATGATTGCAAGGTAGCAATACCATTGTTTTGGTTGGATGAGATCTGTTTTAAAACAGTATCTATCTGTGTTGTCATTAAACCAGACTCTTCCAAAGTCAGAATTTGTCCCTTAGATTTGCTGAGACTGCCATCACTGTACATTTCCAGGCTGAAGCTTTGAAGCATGAGCTATGAGCCGTTATGTGAACACTTGAAAGTGTTAGTGTTAATGTAAGTCCAAAGGGGACAGGAAGGATCAAGGGCATCTTCTGTGCAAACTCCATTTAGATACTACATTTATTTTTATAGAATGGTGTCAAAGCAATAGAATTTTGAAAACTACAGACAATTGGTTGCAGTGGGAGGGAAGGGTTGGGGGTCGAATGGGAGTGCAGAGACAGACTAGAGTGGGTAGGCAGGAGTGGGCTTGGAGAGTTGGGGGGTATATGGGCTGGGTTCACTGGGCGATGTCAGTTGCTTTTGAACACTGTTAAGGAATTGCTTGTAGATTGGGGAATCCAGGGAAAGTGATCTGCCTCCTAGTCCCTGCTTCCATGAACTTAGTCAGCTTGCAAATCTCTGAAAGCTGAAGTGAAATGTTATATGGATGTGTGTGCTGAGGGGAGGTCCTCAAGTTTATATCGGATTCTCAGAGGAACTCTGAAATCAAGGGAGACCAAAAGTTTTGGAAGCTAAAGAAAAAGAAGGTGAAGGGCTGGGGCCGTAGCTTAGCAAAGAGCTGTGCGAGTATGAAGTCCTGAGTTTGAGGCCCTAGAACCCACATGGAAACGGTGTGTCATGGCGTGCTTGCAATCCCAGGACTGGGGAGTTGGGGCTGGGCAAGACCCTGGAGCTTGCTACCCAGCCAGCCCAGCCTATTTGGCAACTCGAGGCCAGTGGGAAACCCTGCCTCCGAAAACAAGGTGGGTCGTTCCTGAAATAACACTTGAGGTTGTCCTCTGGCCTCCAAAGCATGAGCACACATGGAGCAGGCACATCTGCACACACATGTGGATCTATATGTACACGAACACACACAATACCCACGTGTATACAAAAAGAAAACTAAAACATTTTGTTAAATCAACAAAGGCAGAGGAGGATCTGGTAATGTGGGCAGAGGTGGCTGCATGTAAAGCAGTAGGCAGGTGCTCCCTAGAGAAACACAGCCGTCCTTTGTGCTGGTCAGTGCCTTGCCTCCAGCTGGGCCACAGTGGCTACCTCCAACTCTAGAGCATTTCACAGTGTCTAACGCCAGTCCATCCCGGGGAAGCCTTGTCCAGGCCCTTAGGCAAGGTTCTAACAGTCATGAGGATGAAGAAATTTCCTTCTAATCATCCTTCAATTTATCTATGTCACGCCCTGTGTTTTCCTTTAGGGTTTTCCTGGGACTGAGAAGTGGGCTTGCTCCAGAAAGTGGCTCACAGATACTTTTGTTTAGTTGGTGGTTTATAAACACACAGAGACATACATCAGTAGAGGTCAAACATGTACTGGGGACACTGCCTTGGTTTTTGTATCTGTTTTGACAATAGTAATAAAAGAACAGGGGGAAATTAGAAAATATAAAATTATTGAAAGAACTCACCAGTTAACATTGCTCTGATAGGAAAGAATATTATTAATATTTTCATGCATTTTGATATCTAAGGATTTTCCTCAAGGTCTGGGTGTAGCATATGACGTACATTGTATATATGTACAGATCTGAACACAAATGGAATCATACCACCCATTCTGTTTTGAATCCTATTTAAATTTTTATTTATCTATTTATTTTTACTGTATGTGTATGTGCATTTTGCTGGCATGTAAGTGCATCACATACATGTAGTGTATGTATATATATATATATATATAGTTTCCATATGAAGAATTATACATTTTTATTTAATTATTTTTAGAAATTTCGTGTGTGTATCTGTGTGTGGGGATATACATGCAAGTGCAGACACCCTTTGAGGCCAGAAGAGGGCCTGGAATTATAGGCAGTGTGTATTGCTCAACATGAAGGAACTGAACTAGGGTCCTCTGCAAGAGCCGTATGCACCCTTAAGTGCTGAGCCGTCTTTCTAGCCTCATGCCTTTATTTCTCTTAAAATCATTTTATTGGTTGCCTTGTAGCTCAAACTATGGCATATTATAATTTATTTTAAGTTCATTTTCAATTTGAGCTTTGGCACTTAAGAACTTTTTTGTATTATAACAACACTGAAAGGAATGTTTTTATACGTATATTTTTATACTTGCCTCACTATTTTTTGGTACAATTTCCTTGGAATATAACTTCAGGGATCTAGGAGAACAGATTCTTACTTACATATTATATTCTCCAAGGAAAAAATGAAAACTAATGTGTGCCAACTTTCACACCTAGTGACATGACATCTGTTTCCTTGTCTTGACACACATATTTTGGAGTTGTCGTCCTTGTAGACAGTAGTAGTATTTTTACTGTTGCTTTAATTTGTAAGTCCGATGCCTAAGGAGTTGAAAATATAAAAATACATTTAAAATAAAAATATATTTAAAATATAAAAATATAGTTTGTCATTTGAATAGCTCAGTTATTTCCTCTATCATTTGCCTTTCAAACGTCTATTAGGTATTTTACTATATGTATACATGTATATACATAAGGTATTTCAGTTTTACATAATTAAATCTTGTTTTTTCTTTTGGTTTCTTCTTTGATCTATCAAGGCTTTATTAATAGTGTCCTGTATCCTGCAGGGGTTAGTTTTATGCATGTAGATCTTTAATCCATTTGAAATTTATTTTGGTATCTTCTGGGAGAAAAGATGGAGCCTTTACTCTGGAATATTTGGCAACCCTTCCTCTGTCAGAGGTCTCAGGCACACCTCACCTCACAGATCCTCCTTTCCTTTCTATTTGCTACCTCCTCAAATGGTATTGCTACCACTATACATTGTTCTGGTTGGAAACTGGGGAATAATTTTAATCCTCTCTTTTCCTTCCTGTTTACCTGCATTCAGCTACCAAGGATTCATGAAGCCCTTTTACCCTAAAACCAACTACCAAGGAGTACTAAAGTGCTCTAAGTTTCTCTCAGTACAGAATCATCAGGCTGCCTCTGCTTCTGATCTTACTCCAGGGCAAACCCTCCCAGGTCTCCTCTCTGCTTATCTCCACCCATTTCCCACATGGCCAAGTTCAGATGCAATGATAATCTGATCTTGTCACTTTCTACTTAAAATCATTGATTAGCATTTTATTTTGGCCTGGTCCTCAAGACCTGATTGTTCTGGTATCTTCCAACCTTCCCAGCCTTATTCTAGTTCCCTCTGCATGCAGGAGTCCTGAACACCCTACTTTCCAACATAGGACTGTTCTTGGTCACGTTATCTGACTCCGCTTCCTTTGCAGTCTCCTTCTAAGTCACTATATACATAAACACTCAGTCGGCAAGCCCAGCTGTAGATGGAGGCAGCAAGATCACAAGTTCAAGGTCATCCTTGGATGCATAGCACTGCCTTGCTATGCGTAGCCCTTCCTTTCCCTCTAGTGAGGCTGTTCTGTCAAGAGCTACCTCGTCTTTCATGGGATCTTCCAACTCGACATTCTCTGATTTTTTTTCTGTTGAAAATTTACATAAGTAGTTGAAAAGACTATCTTTCCTTTTTTGAACTGCTTTTGAACCTTTGTCAAAAATCAATTGGTCACATTTGTGTGACTCTGTTTTGGGTCCCTTGTTCTTTTTCATTGATTTCCATTGATTCGTTGTCTGTTCGTTTGCCAGCACAGCTCAGCCTTGGAACTGAAATCTTTTGTAGCCATGTGACTCTTGAAAGTGGGCAGAGTGACTCCCACCACTCTACCCAGTCCACCCCCTTTTCTCCAAACTTGTTTGGATGCTGGTCGTTGTGTGTTAAGATGGTAAGTCATTAGACTATTTTTAAAAAAGTGCTGATCTTTGTGGCAGGTAGGTCACGAATCAGTCCGACTGAACTTTTCTTATTTTGCTTTGACCCTCTACTACTGTGGTAGTTGTGACCTGCTGCTAAGCTGGGACCTTTTGTGTCTTTGCAGTAGGAACATGGAACCTTGAATCCCCCCTAGTACCCTGTGAGATTGGAGGCTGTTTGTCTTTCATCTTTTTTGCCAGATCCCTAGAGTTTCCATTTATAGACACTATTATGCCAACTCCAGGAAGACAGCATTGCTCTAGATGACAGAGTATTTCATGTGTTTTGTCTGAGGGGATCTGTTTTCTGTAGTGGCATCCCCTGCCTATGGTCTTGGCCTCCACTGTGTTCAAGATTGGCTGCCAGAGGAAGTCAAGGGTGGCTGTGGCGCTCAGTGGCCTGTTTCCCCTCTTGCAGCCACGCTGTCCAGTCTTGTTGCCTGGTGTCTACTTCTTAAAAGTGTTTTATTTTTTTCATATATTTATTCAGTCATCTAGTTGTTTATAGGGAAGGACAGGACAGAGTTCATTTATTTCACTGTGGTAGAAAAAATTCCACAGAATTTTTTTGAGACTTGATTCACCTGCAAGAAAATATTTATGCAGTGTGAAGACACTGGGGCTGAAGCCATGGTCCAGGGCCTGTGAAACCCTCAATTTTATGGTTGCCAGAATTGTCACCCAGGCCTTTCCGTGTGGACTCCGTACTAACAGTAATGACTGCATGTTTTCTGTTGTTTCAATTTTCCTTATTTACTCAAGGAAAGCATTCAGAATTAACATGATTATAGTCTTCCACAAGTACTACCCAAAGTATCTACTGTCTAGATTGGTTTTTAGAAAGCTACAGATTGCAGACTGGGGAGGTGGCTCAGTTGGTAAAATGCCTGCCAGGAAATCTGAGTTTGGACCCTGTGCTGGATAGCTTTAGTGTCAACTTGACATACCTGGGTTGAGGGAGCCTCAATTGGGGAATTGCCTCCATTGGACTGGCCTGTCTATGGGGCATCTTCTTGATTATTGAGTGAAATGGGTGGGCCCAGCCTAGTATAGGCAGTGCCACCCTTGAGCAGGTTGTTCTGTATTGTATAAGAAAGCAGGCTGAGCAGGGGCCAGGGGAGCAAGCCAGTAAGCAGTGGCCTGTTCTCCAGCTCCTGCCTCCAGGTTCCTGCCCTGAGTTCCTACCTTGGGCTCCCTGATGAACTGTGACCCAGGAGATGTTAGATAAATAAACCTTTTCCTCCCCAAGTTGGTAGTGGTCAGAGTGTTTTGTCCCAGCAATGAAGAAACTAGGACAGACCCCTTCCCCCATGGACCACTCCGTCTACAGAACCTTCCCATATTCCTACCAGCAGTGTTTGACACAGCTGAAGTCTCAGATTGAGAGCTGAGTGGAAATGTAGGTGTGCTATTCTACAGAATTGGCCCTGCAGTGCCCATCTCAGGGTTGGGAACTGGGCTCCAGGACCCTGCCAGCATTCAGAGGATGCACCAGGGATGTCTAGTGAGTGGCCTGGAGTTGATATCATTGGCATTTAATTCTCAATGGAGCCTTAAGGACACTATGGTGGCAGAGGCCAGAATGACATGGGCTTGGCACCCTCTCTGGAGGGTGCCAAGGATGATGAATCTTAAACATTTGATAAATGTCTAAAGAAAGAGTTTTTCCTATTTTTTCTGCCATCTTTATTTTTTACCTAAGACCTTCGAATCTAGTGGGTCCTCCAAACAGACAGTTTCAGGCACATGAGACTCTCCCTAACCCCGTTAGAGCCCCTTAGGGGTAGGGTGGCTCTGAGGCCAGAATGTGGCTTTCACTTTGAGTGGACAGGACTGACAGCTTTAGAACTGTTTCACAGAGCTCAGGAAATTAGAAGGGTGTGGCATTGAGCAAGTGGGACTTTTGGTTTTGCCAGACTGTAAAGGTTGGGAAGAGCCAGGCCATTTCTGTTGCTGTTGCTGCTCATTTCAAAATTCTCAGTGTCCGGATTGCCAGCTAAGGAAAGCTGTTATTTAGTAAATATTTCAGTGAAGGCTGTCTTCCTGAATGGTTGGAAAGTGCTACTGATACATTAATCTGTCAAAGAGTTTGATTCTGTCCTTCAGCATTTTCTCAGAACATTCCAATTTATATGTCTCTACAACCGGTCCACCATGTAATGCCATTTGTGATGGTGCGGCTCATACCCCTCTTCACTCAGAGTGATCACCCCACTGATACACAAAGACCACGTTTTAAATAGGTCAGCATGAGTCAATCAATTTCGTCTGTCCTATTGATGTCAATTGCTGTATTTATTGCAAGCAACAAATTCACTCCGACACAGCTGAATTATAATCAACCTAGGATGACCTAGAAGTAGTAACTCTTTTGTTCAACAGATTGTATTTGAAAGATGAAATAGTCAGAAAGAAGTCGGGCACATAAGGAATGTGAAATGGAACAGAGAGGAAATGTTGCAGTGTAAGATTTTTTCTTCTGAGGTGGTCTGTGAGTGGCATATGGCAACTTTATGAACACAAGGAAAACCAATACTAACTAGAAAAGCAATTTAATGCTAAATAAATCTGAAAGTAATTACCTGCATCTACTGAAATATTGTTTTCTGAAGACAGGAACAAAATATTTGGTTTTGCTCTTAGTTGACTATAATGGCAGTAATAGCTTTGTTTCTCATCCCTTTCTGCATTTTCTAAGCAAATGAGGGCTTATTTTGAAAAATTCTTTCTTGCTTTTTTTTGACTCATGAGATTACCTCAGTGTGAAATACCCTCTTCAGCCTGATGAGAGGCCCTCAGAAGCATATTCATCTTGTATTAACTCATTGTGATAGCTGTCAAATCATTTGAGGGTGTCTTTGTTCATGAAACTTTTGCTAACAAGCTATTTCTTAGAAGTGGGTATTTGGATCATAGTAACATCAGCCCTGCATTCTGCCCTGTATTCTTACAACAGGTTCTGTGAGGCAGGCATACCCAGGATGTTGGGTCTCACCAGAGTCAGGAGCTTGAGGTCTCTGTCTTCTCGTGGGAGAAGGACAGACTGGTGTGGATGTAAGCATCCTTTGGTTCACTCTTTCCCAGGGAGGGTTGTGTCAGAATTGGAATAGCTCATGTTCTATAACTGTCACTCTTTAGGTGGGTCTAGTGCTCTTTGTGAGATTTTCAGTTCCTCCTTCTCTTCATATGCAAGCATCTGGAAGGATTAGAATCAGTTTTCACAATCGACTTGAGCTGCGTGAACAACCGTGTCCATTAAAGAGCCAGTGTCCAGTCTAGCATACTCAAACATAGTTAGCTACAAAATAATCATAAACTGAGTGTTCAGCTTTCCAGGGTTTCAGAAAAATATATGACATTGAACTGCTGACTCCAAAATAAATAGACTTTAATAAAACCAGGAACCTCAATTTGCCTTTCAGATCAACCTCAGACGGTTTATTCAAATGTGGGAATTAACTTCAGGTAAACCCTTCATGGGCTCAAGGAGAGATTCTTCTTACCAGTGCCTTTTCTGAAACTGGCAACTTGACTCTGGTTACGATCGCCAGCCTCTTGGTTCTGAAAGACATGAGTTCGAAGATACAGGTGGGGCCATTTCACTGCCACTTTTCTTTATCTCCGTAGGTGAAGAGTGTGACATTGACATCAACGAATGTGACAGCAACCCTTGCCATCATGCTGGAACCTGCTTGGACCAGCCCAATGGTTATACCTGCCACTGCCCTCATGGCTGGGTGGGAGCAAACTGTGAGATACGTAAGTATTTCAGCTGTGGGGTAGTTAGTATGGCATTTTCCATCAGCAAGAAGAAGAGGCCAACTGTGGCTAGAGAACCCCCACATCACTATGAGGCCCACAGAGACCACCAGAGTTGTCCCTGTCCCCTGAGTCTGAGTAGTACCTCTGTCCACTGCTTCCTGCCACCCCGACTCCTTGAGACTGCTTCCAGCTCTCGTCTGGGGTGAGAGTCTTCAGAAGTCCTCCAGAGTTTACTGCTTTTTGGGAAGCCAAAATATGCTTTGCAGACAAGCATTAGAATCATATGCAAAAATGCAGCCTCCACACTGGAAATTTTAAAAAGCAACACAGAATTGGAATTTGCATTTGGGGTCTCAAGTGTCTTTGAACATAGTAGGGAAGTCCCTCCAGTTGCCAAGAGAAAAGTCCAGTGAGGATGAACTTAAAAGATGAAAAGCATTTGGGGCTGCTTTAAGCCAAGTATTGGGCTGTGGGTGAACTAGAAGTTTGAGTATGTCAGGATCAAGGCTTGATATACTAGTGCAATGCTTCGCTCAGGATGGAGGTAAAAATGACTGACACGGTGTTGTGTTCTCATCTGTTTTGGAAACTGCTGAATATTCAACATGAAAGGCATTTTCTTATTTAAATGAGGCAGGGAAGCTTCGGTTTCACAAATGAGGAAATTCAACCATGATGGTGGGGTGGGGTGGAGGTGGGGAGGTTTGCTTCATCTCCATTTCAGATGCTTCTGTGCCTGGGAGTGGTGCTCCAGAGCTTGCCTTCCTGCCCCTTCTTGCTCTGGACTCCATTCATTGATGGATAAAGTTACTTGGACTGGGGAGATGCTCAGTCAGAAAAGTGCTTGTTGCACAAGCATGAAGACCCAAATTTAGATCCTCAGCACACACATAAAATGCCAGGCGTGGTGGTATATGCTTTAATCCCAGTGCTCAGAAGGAGGAGAGAGGAGGATCCCTGGAGCTCACTGCCCTGCCAACCTGGCTGAATCTGTGAGCCCCAGGTCCCAGTGGGAGACCCTGTCTCAAAAACAAGGTGGCTAACTCCTAAGGAACAGCACCTGAGGTTGACATCTGGCCTCCATGCATGAGCACATATGTGTACCCATACACATGTAAACACTCAACCCACTCCTGTACACAAAAGAATAAATTATTATCTATCTAAGTTTGAGTGGATTAAGATCAATATATAAAATACACGTAGCCTTGTCTGCCTGCCTGCCTGCCTGCCTGTCTGTCTGTCTTGAGTTGACCTAACTGCTATGCCCACATAGCTTTGCTATATTGCATGACTAGGTTTACTAGTGGTTCTGCAGTGCCCATGACTGGGTGGGGTTGTTTGATTCTTAGTGTCTGAAGTGGGGGTGGGGATATTGGGAAACTCCTATCCACACATATGAAGCCCATTTGCTAACATCAGCTTGACCAATAACAAACATATTATCTGGCCCTTAACCTCCCACTTTGTCCTTGGTTCCCAGAATGAAAGGAAACAAGCTAATTATTTTTAATCCACCCCCTTTAACATTCCCACATGTTCCCGTACAGAATGGCCTTAGGAACAACCTCCTTGCTGGAGATTGGTAAGAAATGGAGGTAGGGAAGGTTCTGGTGGTAAGAGTACTAAAGGGAGCAGTTTGGTGATGGGACAGAGACACTCTAGGTTCACAGACCATGCTTCTTGCCCTGGCATGGCTCTTATTGGATGACCGCTGAACCTCAGTTTACTTTTCTATGACTTGGAGGATTTTCTATTAAGTTAGAAATTCTATGAAGTGGCAAATTTTGTTCATTGAAGGAAAAGTATTATCTAACTATAACTTAAAAATAATGTTTGTGAACGTAAATAAGTAGGGAAATATGGATGAAGAAATTTAGAAATGTGCAGAATGTTCTCAAAAATATTTGAAGAAAATTCAATGATAGGATAGAAAGAATAGTGTAAGTCTGACTTCCTTCCAGTGATGACAACATAGACAAAAGATACACTGACGCAGAATAACAGATCAAGGGTGCCTTCCAATCCCAGCTCTGTCATATTCTTGCCGTGTGTCCTGGGCAAGCAAAATGACCCCTGGAAGCTGGGTCTTTCTCATGTGTGATGACTTTGGGACCACCCAGACAATCCACAGTATACACTCTAGCTCAAGGTCCTTAATTTGATCAATCTGAAAATTCCATCTTTCCAAATAAGGTAGTATTCTGGGAGGGGGGAAAGTAGAATGTGGATAGTGGACATCTTTGAGTGATCACTACTATGCCTACCATCATACCCATGGCTAGTATCCCTATTTGTTGTTAAAAATTCTGTCATGCTAGTGGTGGGAATGGTAGCTGATACCTATAATCCCAGCACCTGAGAGACTGAAACAAGAGACTGTTGGGAGTTTGAGGCTAGCATGGGTTACATACTCAGTTCCAGGCCAGCCTGAGCTAGTGTGAGACCCTGTCTGAAACAAAACAAAATAAACAACAACACTCCCGCACCCCCCCCATACATGCATCATTTAGGGATCATTTGGGATCATTTTACTTGTCACAGCATTGTTCTAATTCTGATGAGAATTTGAATATACATGCCTAACACCAGTGGAGGGTGAGGATAGAGATAAAACACATGCTGTGCCAGGCTGGCCAGGTGGTTCCAGACCTCCTACCACTTGCCATGGTCAGAGGAAGTCGGTTAACCTCACAGGACCTCCGTTTCTTTGTTCATAAATGAAGGATTAATGACTTGAGTAGTGTTCATCCTTCTAGCTCTAGGATTACAGGATTTACTCTCAGAATAATATAGTTTTTCAGGAAGCAGCAATTGTAAGGCAGAGACTTTCTACTCCTTTTTCCCTTACAAGATATCACAGTAAGTTTACTGCTGTACATTGTAAAAGCTCCTTACGGTATATATGTGATACTTGTAAATATGGCATATATGCATATACTTAAAACTGAAGCCCCCATGGGAGGGGCTCACCAGGTGGAATGAATCAACTTTCTCGTCAGCCATCCCTAGAGATCCTAAAACCTCAACGGGACTTACATGCACATTAGTATCATTTTATCTGAAAGCTCATGCCTCTAATCCCAGCAGAGGGTCTCCCTGTATCCCCAGCTGGTTTGGCACTAACTATGTAGACCAGGCTGGCCTCAATCTCACAGAGATCTACCAGCCTCTGCCTCCCCAGTGCTGGGAATAAAGGTGTGCACTACCACACCTGGCTTTGTAGAATTTTAATAAAGGGAAACCATGCCTTTTTAGGAAAGGGAGAAACTCAAAAGTCCTTTAGCTATTTACAAAGCAATATGTTTTATATTATATCTGTTGGAGCTGTAACAATTTGTAGTTGGAGTTACAGCCAATGTCCTCAATGGTGCTAGGCCAGTTCCACATACTGAGTGATTGAATCTATGTTTTAAGTTTGAATTAACCCAGCTGCAGTTGAGAAGTAGCCAAGTAACCTGTCTTAGCTTTGTGCTTTCAACCTATCATCAGGGCTGCTTTGTTGTCAGGCACTGAATGCAGGGCCTGTGATGTAAAGATGAATGGAGAACCCGGCCTTTAGGAACCTGCGATCTGAGGGTAAGTCAGAGTGCATTGTGAGGGCTTGTACAGGAGCCTGCAGGCCTGGAGAAGGGCCAGAGAAGATGTGTAGATGAGCATCTTGCTCACTTTCCCACCTTTCACATAGATGGCATTTAGTAAAAGAGAAGAAATCCGTAAGAGGATTATGACAGTTTGAACGTTCCCAATAGACACTGAGCTTTTAAACACTTCATCACCTGGTGGTGCTGCTTGGGGAGGGTCATGGAACCTTTAGGAGGTTCCATGATGAACATGGGAGCCTGAAAAGGATGAGAAACTAAGAAAAAGAAAAAATATTGCCCCCACGTGGGAAAATGCAGACAGAATTAGGTAAATATATAAAGAGGAATATAATAACGTAAAACCCTCTAAATGCATAGTAGAAAGCGGTGAGGACGCTCACAAGGCTTACAAGAAAAAGAACAAAAGACAAAAGGGTGGATGCAGTGTTAGAGCAGCTTCTTTCTTGGCTCTTGAAAGTTGGAGACTGCCTGTTACATGCATGGGGGGGGTGAAGTTAAACTGGGAGCTCTTTTCTTGCTTACGGTTTATTTTGCTGTTGAGTCAGTACTGGGTCAGTGACTGACATCTGTCAGAGCCATCTTCAGGGTGGAAGCCTTTGTCCTTGTGTGCCAGGGTTCTCTGCTGGCCACATTTAGCTTTCCTTTCTATGGACTGGACACATTCCCTCAGCCTTTTGGGAATCCCCAGGTCACACCCCCTGGAGTGGCTACTGCTTTAGTTGGGAGTGTGGGAGCAACCGCAGCTCTGAGACTGTGTAGGCAGAGGACTTCCTGATGTTGATCATCCTTCCTGATGGGGCTGTGGGTATCATGCACACCCCTAGAACTTTAGAGTTCTTGGACCCGATAGCTGTGAATGACAGATATGTAGCTTTAGAGTTTAATCCACCCAATGGCCAGGCTCAGAGTGGTCAAGCCCCAGGTTCATTTTTAACTGATGAGCTCTGTTTTTAGCTACTAAAGGTGGGGCTGTTTCTCCCTATGCACTTCCCAGCCTGAACCAAGCCTCCTGCTGTCTGGACCCTTTGCCTTGCTGGTATCCTGCCCTCCTGCTCTCCAGAACAGTCTCTCAGGCACCCTCACCCAGGGGCTGTGTCGGCCAAACTGATACTCCCTGGCCTAGGGATGTTCTCTGATCTCAGGACCTCTAGGGTGGCTTAGATTTTTAACAATAGATTCTTTCTTAAGACGGTGTTGGGCTGCTGCCCACTAAGTCATAAGTGTGACAAAGGGGACTTCTCTCTACTGCTGACCCACCTGCCAGAGGAGCCCACACCATTTATTGAAGAGAATTTCTTTTCTTCACTGTTTTCTCTTGGCACAGACTGGAGAAAACAGAAATTAATCTAAGCACAGACGACCACTTTGACTTTGAAGTGAGCAGTGTTAGAA